ATTTCCTTTAGATTTTTGAATTTTGAGGAATATAGGTTTTCAAAGTATGACCTGATAATTCTCTGGATTTCCTGTGTGTCTGTTGTTATGTTCCCCTTTACACTCCTGATTTTATTACTTTGCATGTTCATTCTCTGCTGTTTGGTGAGTTTGGATAAAGGTTTGTCTATCTTGTTGATTGTCTTGAAAAACCAACTCTTTGTTATATTGATTCTTTGTATTGTTCTCCTAGTTTCCATTTTATTGATTTCAGCCCTCATATTGATTGTTTCCTGGCATCTTCCTCTCCGGGGTGTATTGGATTCTTTGAGTTCTAAAGATTTCAGGTGTGCTGTTAATTCTCTAGTGTGATTATTCTCCTGTTTCTTCATGTGTGCAGTTAGCACTTTGAACTTTCCTCTTAGCACTGCTTTCAAAGTGTCCCATAGATTTGGGTATGTTGTGTCCGCATTCTCATTGAATTCTAGGAAATCTTTAATTTCATTTTTATTTCATCCTCGACCCAGGAATTGTGCAATTGGGTGTTACTAATTTCCACGAGTTTGTAGGTTTTCTGTAATTCATGTTGCCATTGAATTCTAACTTTAAAGCATGGTAATCTGATAAGATACAGGGAATTATTTCAATTTTTTGTACCTGTTGAGGTTTGCTATGTTGCCAATTATGTGGTTGATTTTAGAGAAGGTTCCATGTGTCGATGAGAAGAATGTAAATTGTTTTGTATTTGGATGGGATGTTCTATAGATATCTGTTAACTCCAATTGCACCATAACTTCTATTAGTTCCTTGGTTTCTTTGTTAAGTTTCTGTCTGGTGTTCCTGTCCAGTGCTGAGAATGGGGTGTTGAAGTCTCCCACTATAAGTGTGTGTGGTATTAGGTGTGATTTGAGTTTTAGTAATGTTTCTTTTACAAACGTGGATGCCTTTGTATTTGGGGCATAAATGTTCAGAATGGAGAATTCATCCTGATGGATTTCTCCTGTGATGAGCAGAACGTGACCTCCTTCATCTCTTTTGATTGATTTAGTTTAAAATCCAGTTTGTTGGATATTAGGATCACTACTCCCCTTGTTTCTTGGGTCCATTTGATTGGAAAATCTTTCCCCAACCTTTAATTCTCAGGTACCATCTGTCTTTGAAGTTGAAGTGTGTTTCTTGTATGCAGCAGATGGATGGATTCTGTCTTCTTGTCCAAACTGCTAATCTGTTTCTTTTTATACGTGGGTTAAGACCATTAATGTTGAGGGATATTAATGACCATTGATTGTTCATTCTTCTTTGTTTTTGATTTGGTGATGGTGGCCAAATTATGTGTGGAATTCTATCCCTTTTTCCTTTTGGCTTTTGGTAATCTGGAATTATCTATTGCCTATATTTTTCTGGTTGGAGTCAACTTCCTTGTGTTGTAGTTTTCCGTCCAAAACTTTCTGTAGGGCTGGATTGGTGGATATGTATTGTTTGATTCTGATTTTGTCATGGAATATCTTGTTTTCTCCATCTATATTGATTGAAAGCTTTGCTGAGTATAGTAGTCTGGGCTAGGATCCGTGGTCTCTTAGCATAGGTTGAATATCTATCCAGGACATTCTGGCTTTCAGAGTTTCCATGGAAATGTCAGGTGTCATTCTGATAGGTTTGCCTTTATATGTTACTTGACCTTTTTCCTATATTGCTCTTAATACTTTCTCTTTATTCTATATGTTTGGTGTTTAGATTATTATGTGGCAAGGAGGCCTTTATTTGGTTCAGTCTATTTGGTGTTCTGTAGGCTTCTTGTATTTTCATTGGCATGTCTTTCTTTAGGTTGGTAAAGTTTTCTTCTATGATTTTGTTGAATGTTTTCTGTGCCTTTCATTTGCATTTCTTCACCTTATTCTATACCTATTATTCTTAGGTTTGTTCTTTTCACAGTATCCCATATTTCCTGAATATTTTGTGATAGGGATTTGTTGGACTTAAGATTTTCTTTGGTTGATGAGTCTATTTCTCCTAGTGTATCTTCAATTCCTGAGATTTTCTCTTCCATCTCTTGTATTCTGTTGGTTATGCTTGCATCTGTAGTTCCTGATCATTTACCCAGATTTTCTATTTCCAGCATTCCCTCAGATTGTGCTTTCTTTATTGTCTCTATTTCTGTTTTTAGGTCTTAAACTGTTTTCTTGAGAGATTTGTTGATATCTTGTAATTTTTTGGTTTGTTTTTTCTTTCATTTTTTAAGGGATTTTCTCATGTGCTCTTTAAGGTCCTCTATCATTTTCGTGAAGATGTTTTTAAGGTCCTCTTCTTCATCTGCATTGTGATGTTCAGGTCTTGCTGGTGTATGGTTCTTAGTCTATGGTGGTGTCATATTGGGTTTTCTGTTGTTGGATGTGCTTTTACATTGTCCTCTTCTCATCCTTT